AGTAGTAGTAGTAGCAGGAGGAGGAGTAGTAATTGTAGCAGTGGTAGTCGTAGTAGTAGTAGTAGTAGTAGTTGTTGTTGTTGTTGATGTTGTCGTCGTCGATGTAACGGTAGCAGCAGTAGCAGCAGTAGTGGCAGCAGCAGCATCATAGTAGTAGTAGTAGTAGTAGTAGTAGTAGTAGAGCGTCAGCAGTAGTAGTTTCAGTAGCAGTAGCAGTGGCATTAGCAGTAGCCTTAGCCTTAGCCTCAGCCTTCGCATTAGCATTAGCTTTAGCAGCAGCAGCATTAGTAGTGGTGGTGGTGGTTAGTTGTAGTAGTAGTAGTAGTAGTAGTAGTAGAAGTAGTAGTAGTAGTACTACTACTACTACTACTACTAGTGGTAGTAGGAGTAGTAGTGGTAGTAGCAGCAATAGTAGCAGTAGTATCAGTAGTGGCAGTAGTAGTAGTAGTAGTAGTAGTAGTAGTAGTCGTGGTGGTGGTGGTGGTGGTGGTGGTGGTGGTAGTAGTAGTAGTAGTAGTAGTAGTAAACATGTCTGTTGCTGTTGTTGTTGTCGTCGTCTCTGTCGTAGTAGTAGTAGTAGTAGTAGTAGCAGCAGTAGTAGTAGTAGTAGTAGTAGTAGTAGCAGCATTGGTAGCAGTAGTAGCCGGAGTAGCAGTAGTAGTAGCAGTAGCAGCAGCATTAGTAGTAGTAGTAGTAGTAGTAGTAGCAGCAGCAGCAGCAGCAGCAGTAGTAGTAGTAGTAGTGGTGTTATTATTATTACTATTAGTACTTAGTAGTAGGAGTAGTAAGACCAAATCCTGAAGAAAAAGCTGGATCCCGTGAGCCTCAAGAGAGCCCAAAGGGGTCCGGAGAGACGGCGGAGAGCACCTTGGAGGTTCGAAAGGAAAACCCAGGGTTTAGGGTTTAGGGTTTAGGGGTTTAGGGTTTAGGGTTTAGGGTCTAGGGGTCCATGGGTATAGATGGGTTTTCAGCACTCACAACTGAGGGTTCAGGGTTTAGGGGGGAGTAGGGTGACCAGAACTGTAGCCCATATTAGGGGACTTATGACTCCGAAAGGGACAGGCTTCTTTGGGGTACCGTTCGGGTGTGAAATTTCAGAGAAGAAAGGCACGTAGCATGCTTGGGGATTTGGGGTCCAGGATTCAGGGCTCAAGTCGTCAATCTCGCTGTCGGAGATTTGGGTTTGGGGATTTTGGGGCTCAGACTCGGACTTAAGGATCTAGGGCCTTTCCGGCTCCCGCTGCGGGAGTCTCCAGGGATTTAGGGTCCAAGGTCCCAGTGTGGTTTGCAGGTGTTAAGCTCTGACAGATCGAGCTCTGGCAGATGAGGCCGTGTGGTCTTGCTAAGGTTTCGGGGTTTGGAGCTTTGTTGCACAGCAGATCCATCACCGATGAGCTTGGCCAACTTACTCTCATGAGTGTAGCCTAGCTCAGAAACCCGCGAAACAAGACCTACAGAAGCAGGCGGCCGAGTCCGCAAAACACCCCGCATTGAAAGGTTAGCTGTTGCTGCTCACCTCTGTGCAGAGTTGGTACGATGTCTTCTCGTCTGCGAGCGTACAGGCGCACTTGCACACACACAAGGACATCTAGGCGTGCGCACATACCGGCATGGCAAGATTTACAACAGTCTGCATGCTGCATGTTACGACACTGCGTCCTGTTGCTTGACGTGAAAACTGTGAAGGTAAACTTCGCCATCGCTGCTGTGGCCCAGACTACAAGTAGTATGTACCATGCCCGTCCAGTCCCTGCTAACAGTGATTACTTTTGGCTTTCAGCCTCCGAGCCCTGTTGCTGCAGGTTCTGGAATAAGCCCGTGAGCCCTTTTAAAAGACAAAGAACCTACAGCTCCCTGAAACTGCAGCTTGCTTTCCGGGTTGCGGCCGAGGAGATCGATATCTTTTCTGGAGGCTTCTCGTCCAATTGCCTCGAGCCAGCTGAAGTCACAGGTCCAGGAAGCAGAGTCGACCGTTAGACTATGATGGACCAATGCAGGGGCCTTCATAGTTGGAATAGGTTTTGGGGTATACTATACTATAATTATAAGAAGGAACCCCTAAAATAGTATAGGTAATTTTTAAGGTCCCTATATATGAATTCCTAATTCGAGCCGGGTTTCCGGGAGCTGAAGGCACAGGGCTGAGGGCACAGGGCTGAAGGGTGTCAGGCTCAGTTGGACTCTCGCAACCCGGAACTCCAAGCGAGGCTGCGCGGGTTCGCACAAGCATGGCCTTTCTCTTCTCGGTTGCATCCATATCTGGGAAACTTGCGCATGTGGCAAATGAATTTGATGTAAGAGCTGACGCAAGAGCGCGGCAGCCTGTGCCTATGCAGACAGCAACGAAGTTGCCTTCCTGTACAGATAATCGGAAGTTCGGAAGCCCCCGTCTACTTCCATGCCCTTCAACATTGCTCCAAAAGTTGCCGATGCCCCTGAATCTTTACACTTACACAGGTGGCAGGGTCTTCAGCGAGCAGCCCGTGCAGCCGGAAGAGTACTGCCACGCGGACATTGGGACATACTCACACCAAGTGGCGCATCCAGCAGCGACCGGAGTTGATGCTGGGCCGCTTGCACCCTGAGAACATCCACGGCACTCCGGTGTGTACTGGTGCGACGGAGTCGGGACCCAACCACACCAGTTGGCACATCCGCCCGGGGTTGCTGGGGCGGGAGCTGGCACAGTCGCGGGTCCACTGCCGCCCTGAGCGCATCCTCGGCACTCCGGCGTGTACTGCTGGGATGCGCTCGGCACGTACTGACACCAGGTGGCGCAACCCTGTCCAGGAGTGATCGGACTGTCCGGTCGCACGGCCGGGGATCCACCGGAGCAGCCATGGCAGCTCGGAGTGTACTGCCAAGATGCGTGTGGGACCCATCTGCACCAGTTGACGCACACGCCCTGTGTTCCATTAACTGGCCGGCCACTGTCGGGCCCTACCGGTCTATCCCGTCCTGAGCAGCCACCACATTCAGGGGTGTACTGCCAGGAGTTTTGGGGGACCCACTGGCACCAGCCCACGCAGTTTCCGACGTCGCTTCCACTGTGCGGAAGGAAAGGTCCAGTGAGCTCTTGCCCAAAACAGCCATGGCAGCCATGAGTCAAGTTCCAAGATGCTGTGGGGACCCACTGGCACCAGTTCGAACAGCTTGCATTGCTCCCGTTGACCGGCGCTGTGGGAACAACCGGCAGCGGGGAAGACACATTTCCAGAGCAGCTGCGGCAGTCTGGAGTGGTCTGCCAGGAGCCGCGCGGCACCCACTTGCAGTAGTCTGCACATTTGATGCTGGCCGGTGCCGGTGGCGTCGCACCAGTCGAAGTTGAGCACCCACGGCATTCTGGTGTATATTGACGGGAAGCCAGCGGCACCCACTGGCACCAGCCGACGCAAGTTCCAGTGCCTATGGAGGTGCCCTCATCCGGGTGGGAGTTTGAGCAGTTGCGGCAATCTGGGGTGTACTGCCAAGAGGGAGATGGGACCCACTGGCACCAACTCACGCAGCTTCCTGTCTGGATCGGTGCTGTTGGGCGCTCCACTGGTTGACTGGGAGTTCCTCCTCCGCAGCCACGGCACTCCGGGGTGTACTGCCAGGAGCCCTGCGGCACCCAGCCACACCAGCTCTGGCAGGCACTGGTGGGTCTTGCAGGGGTGGGGCTGGTAGGGGTGGTGGCAGGCCTTTGTCCACAGCCATGACAGTCGGGAGTGTACTGCCATGAGGGGCTTGGCACGTAGGTACACCAATCGACGCATCTTCCAGAGACTGCTGCCGGGGCGGCTGGGGTCGGCTGACTGGCGGTGCCTGAGCAACCTCGGCAGTCCGGAGTGTACTGCCATGAGGGGCCGGGCACCCACTGGCACCAGCTCACACGGGCCTTGGGATGCACCTCTCAAGGAAGGCTGCGCGGCATCGGGAAATGCCGTGGCTGTCACCAAGAGCAGGCAAGCTGCACGGAACACCATCTTGCGGGAAGAAGTACTCAGATGGGGTTTACGGTTTGGGCCTCTCGCACTCGGACAATCCAGATGAATCTCCTGCCTCACAGACTGTCACAGCGAATTCAGGAGTCGACCTCGGACATCGAAGCGCTGTCCAAACCGTGCAGGTCCACCAGAGTCCTTGGGAAAGGAGTGTGGGTTTGGGGTTAGGGTTTCGGGTGTCGGCTTCCGAGGATTAGCGATGGGATGAACCGTTGGCTGCGGTCTCAACACTCACAACTCAGTGCACCTCTCGATTCGCGTGGGTTAGTGTTGCACAGGTGCCATGCCGATCTTCTCGTTCCAGTCTTATCGGATGATCGTAGGGCTTTGAGTGGGGGGGGGGGTAGGGGGTGCTCTAATCTCAAGGCCTCAAGGCTTTGGGTTCGTTACCTCTTCGTTGCTGTAGCTATCAGCTTCTTGTTGGAGGTTGCTGCTGCTATCGGTGAGTCGTCGTGCTGTCGTTGCCGCTGCTGTTGACGTGGTTGTTGCTGTTGCAGCTGGCATTGGAGGCTCCAAAGAGTCGACCTGGTCCAACAAAAAGAACGAAATCCGGGCGGCGGTTCCGAACACCGAAAGGCCGGAAAACCTCTCACGCTCTAACATCCCAGGATCGTAAAAGCCCATGTCTGCATGTATATACGGATGTATGTATGAATGTATGTACATACTTACATATGGCTTTCATGTGTTTAGAGAGATCGTAAGGGAGTACCATTGTTAGCTATCGGTGCTCCGATACTAAGGTCTCGGGTTGCTGTGCTTCAAGCAGGGGTGCATTTGTGACAGGTCGTGCTTAACAAGTTGGACAAGGATGCTGTGCCCCGTTGCCCCTAGCAAATTTCTGGACAGGAGTTTTAGTTTACCCGAACCAACTCAAGCCATGCTCACCCAAGTGTTTGTCTTGCATAGGTGAAAATGCAGAGTCTAGCACTCATATAGCGCCTAAGATCACGGGCCGAAGCGTCAAAGTTGACTTCTGCATCTTTGTCTCGCCTGCAGACCTCTGCGCGACGCTTCTGGAAGCTTTGGTCTAAGCTCAAGTACGTTGCAGTCCCCAGACCCTGTCGCTCTCTCACTCTCTCCCTCCGGCATTCGAAATGTCAAGCCTGACTGCAGGGGACTCAAACTCCGGACCTCCTCAAACACACATCGTGATCCACCATTCCCAAATCCCAAAACGCTCCTTCAAGATCCACGCCGGCTGCAGCTTGCGAAGGTCGTCATGACAGCAAAGAACAGCACAATGCTTCTGAAGATCGCAGGACTATGCCCGCACAAAAAATGACAAACTGTGCGGATCTGAAAAAAAAAAAAAGAAGCCCGTGCGCGGATGAGAAAAAGAAGAAATGGCATCCAGAAATCGCTTTAAGCCCTTAAGCCCAATACCCTGGCCCAAAAAAGTTTAAACTTTTGTTTTTGTAGGGGTTTAATATACTTAAAAAGTTTAAAATTTACCTACTGGGTTCCTAAGTAAGTCTACGGTGCCGGTTCCTTGTTCCTCGAGCTGGCCTCAGCTCGACCGACGCCAAATGCGAGTAAATTGCCTGGACCTATACTATTTTGGGTGCTCCTTTTTATATTTTATATTTATAGTATAATATACCCCAAAGGCCCTGTTCGAATTATTAAGGCCTCTGCAGTACTCTTACATTCGGGAGTGGATTGCAGTACCAACTCGGTCCCACCACGCTGCCTGAATTCCATGTCCATGTCAAGCATGAAGACGCTATGCGACCTCAGATGCAATCACCGTCGTGCTCATGTTGCGGTAGACAGGCCCGAAGCCCGCAAACCCTCAGCTCCAAGCCCTTGCTCTAGGGTGTCCGTACAACCTCGAAGAGCCAAGCTTGCAGCGGCTGATTCAGTCAAAGGCACCCTGCTTTCAGCTCTCTTTGAAGGTTCGACCGGCTGCGACACTGGTTTCCTGGCCAAGGCAAAAGCAGCTTGTCGTGCAGCACCATGCAAAACTTTGGACCGCGAAACCCTCAAAGCCCTGAAGCCCAAATTGCACCGGTGTCCGTTTTCCAAAATCCTTCTGCAGATGTAACGGTTTGGGGTGTGGGGGTTGGCCTCGGGCCCCTAAACAGCCATGTAAGCGGCAAAAGCGTCGGCCTTCGTTGAGGCATTCGCCGATGTCCTCCGGTCCGTGCCGGACAGCCCGTCGAGAGATCTCCTGCAACGGCAAAGGGTGCTTCAGGTTTCATCCGGCAACTGAAACATCGAAGTACACGTAAGATGTCCGGGCCGGATCCACTCCAGAATGCGAGGCTGCAAACATACATGAGACTACAAGCCGGAGCACTTCTCCATCTGGCCAGGCATCACTTCTACAACATCACCAGTCAAGCAGCAGCAGCAGCAGCAGCAGCAGCAGCAGCAGCAGCAGCAGCAGCAGCAGCACGAGCAGGTGGCAGTGGTGACGGTGTTGTGCTGGGCTAAAATTCTGAGGGACTCTGCCGTCTGTTTCAATATGCTTGTCGGAAAAACAGCACGGCGATTCGCGATTTGGCTACCTCCTGCCTTCGACTCTTCTGATTCCTGTTCGTAAATATAGCCCAGATCCCAACACCTCGTCACGGTTCGAGAATCGGAAACCCCTGATGTAAACCATTTGGCCCGAGGCCCCGCTTCGTCATGCTGTTGTTGGAACAAACGGTTCCTGATTGACTCTTGGGAGACTCTGGATGCCGTAAGGGCCTACCGTCCAAAGCCTAAACCTCCAATATCCAAATCCCGAACGGCCGCAAGACATCCTTCGCACGGTGCCGCTCGTCGAGCTTCACCTGCCCAGATAGATGAACATGGCTGCTCAAATACAAAAAATAACTCCCTGGTGCTGACGAATGAGCCGTGCAAACACATACACACACACACACACGCACACACACACGCACGCACAAGCAAATGCAAAAGTACAAGTGCATATGAGATGCACCGGCACGGGTGTACAAGCTGCGCAGCTGCGTGCCAGCAAGGAATTACCTAATCGACCTCTCTGCTACCCCTGCCCGCTCACATGATGAAGCCCTGAAACGGTGCCCCAACGATGCAGAAACGACTACGACTACTACGAAGACGACGACGACGACCGCTCCTACTGCTACTGGTACTGGTACTGGTACCACCACCACCACCACCACCACCACCACCACTGCAGACACCACACCCAGCCCCCACCGGTTTGTGGCAGCAACACTAGTTAGCGGGTGTTCTTGATGCAGAATGATCATCGTCACTGTTGCTTAGGACGGCTTTCGAAGAGGGACCTCCCGGCCGCTGGCGAGCAGGTCCCACATGCGGGTCGCGGTCACCCTCGGGATCGGCTACAAGGCTTTCTGCACGGTGACTATAAGGGTATTGTAAGGGGAGTATAAGGGCATGACGAGGGTACGATAAGCGTACTTTCCGGTGGGTTGGGGACAGCGCGCTGCGCTGATGACTTGAAGGGTTTGGAGGGTTGAGAGAAGCAAAGCGCCTCAAGCCAGTGCCAATTCTAGCCTCTCATCTGCCTTCCCTGAAGCCCAAGACTTGCTGCCATTAGAGCCTTCCATCAAAGGCTGTCGATTTCACAAACTTGGGCTCTTCGGATCTTCGCTCTCTGCCGCCGAAGCACTCCACGTAGGAGACATGCAGCCAGTACCTTCCCACGCCAAGCCTAAACCCACGAACGCCCCTCGAAACCCTCTACAAGATCCCGACAAGTAAAGCTCGAAGCTGCGAAGTCCAATAGGGTTGAGGAGTGACCTCCCGAATTTTACGGCCGGAATAGCAAATTCGAGGCGACCTTACACCAGATGAGTCTAGTGGCACGACAGGAAAGTCATTATCCAGGGGGGCATTGCTTGCTCTTGCTCCTTGGACTCCCTGCAGACGCACTGAAGTCTTCGCTTTCAGTTGATTCTGTCTGGTTGTGTCTCTATCTCGCTCTCTCCTTCTCTCCCTCTCACTCTCTCACTATCTCTCTTTTCTTTCTTTCTTTGTGCCGGGCTTAGGGGTCCGCTAGGGGCCCTCAGGCCTTCAGCCCGCCCGACCACCCGTTGTGTGAATGAGTAGTCGGTCTTTTGGGTCTCAATGACCGGGAAAACAAGAGACACTGTTTGTCTTAGGTGGCAATACAGCAAGCCCCTGACCCTGAACCTATCACTATCTCTCTCTCTCTCTCTCTATCTCTCCCTTTCTCTTACTCTCTCCATCCTTCTCCCCTACACCCTAAACCCTTTTTGCATCAGGACTTGTGCAATCGCCTGAATACACCCTGAACCCTAAACCCTAAACCATACACCCTAATCTCACTCGTCCCGCCTGCGGGAGCGCTGGGTGCAGATTTCCGCGAAGATCTGCTGCACTGCCCGGCCCAGGAGGCCTTGGGAGGCTGTCCGCAGAAACAGGGGTTTACTTAAAGGATCATGGGACTTAGTAATTAGGGTTATAATTAAGGTAACTATACTTATATTTACTTCTAACCCCAATTAAGGGACTTATAACCTTACTTACTAAGTCCCATGATCCTCCAAGTAGGGTTTAGAGTTTATGCTCTCGCAACTCGGACTCCGCCAGACGAGATCTCTGTGTCCAACTAGATCAAGCAACTAGACTGCATACGAACAATCACTGCTACACCACAAGGCATCGACAACACAAATAAGAACCCTCATCTGCCCCCAGCCCGATTAAATTAGGTTACCAAAAACTCATCCCGGCAGTGATTGTTGTGTGGGTCGGTTCATTGACCAACTAGCTTGCTGTTCTGAACAGGTTCAAAGGCTCTACGGCTCTCATGCCCCTGTGGCCTGCGGAGTTAAGTTCAGGAAGGGAGCCCAGCTAGATTTAAGGGTTTAGGGTTCAGGGGTTTAGGGTTTAGGGTCCAGATGTGCGAGGACAAGGCCACCTTGGAATCCTACACCTTATCCCTTTCAAGTCCGTGTGAAACCCTTATTCCGTTCTAAACTTCGGAGACAGATGGAGACAGGACATCCGAGGCCGCCACTGTCATCATCCCCCTGTCAGTGGCTATTCAAAGTACCGCCGGCTTAGGTTTCATCACTCAACATTAACGCATAGTCATGGCTTGGTCCAACGGGTTGGCGAAAGGAATGGACGTGCACTGTTTTTTTGATCGGAAGCACAGCTACTTCTTCAAGCTTTGCCGCATGCGCCCGAGAAGAGCCCTCGTCTGCCGATGTGGGGCAGCAGGCGCGGAATCGTGCGACGAGGCCGATGGCACCGGCGGCAAAGGTTCTCCTTGTCCCGAAGTACTTGCTGTTTCCGAAGGTGCGGCGGCGCTGACTGGACGTGCGTCCGACGACTGAGCAACGTCTTCAGATGAAACGACGCCGTCGACGTTGCCAGCCGGTGCGCCCGAGTCTGTGGCCGTGGCAGGAAACGCCACATCCTGAGGTGCAGCAGCAGTCGATGCGAAAGATACGCCTGCTGGGAGTGGCTCTGCAGAGACTACTTCCGTCGAAGCGGCGAGGCCCTCTGAAGAGGCTTCCGTGCGTGGTGCTGCCACGGGCGGTGCAGGGGAAACGGCGATGGTCCGCATCGTCGGCCTCTTGCTCGGCTGTTCTTGGGATGCTTGCGGAGCGTGTGACATTCTCGGAGAAATCGACACAGCCCTGGCCCTCTCCAAAGTCTTTGAGAGGGCGAGCTGCTTGTTCACCACAGACTCCAAGCGTTCTCGGCAGCGATGTTCCGAAGCCAAGTCCAGCTGCAGCCGGACCAACTCCGGGGCAAGAGCTTCCCTCAGCCACTGCTCCAGAGCATCCACCCTCTGCCGGTTCTCAGCTGTTTCTACCTGTAGGGGCCCCGCAACATCTGCCCACCTCGAGGCTGCCTCATCCAGTAGCTGCTGCCGCATCAGCTGCAGTTGCCTGGCCACCTCCATGGGAAGCGTGTCGTGGCCCTTCAGCTCCAGCTCTGTCACGCGAGCTTCCAACCAGGAGACGTGTCGGTCAGATACTTCGCTCACACTCTTCGCGCCCAGCTCTTTCCTGCCAACCTCCGTCTCTAGACGAGTTCGAAGTGCTCCAAGGGAGCGCTCCACGACTAGAAGCCGGGTACTCATATCGTCCGCATGGCGTCGGTATCCGGAGCTCAGCTGTGCTTCAATGGCTCCTGCCGCCTCTCTAACTGCTTTGCGCACCTCAGCATCAACTGTAGCCGCAAGCCGCGCTTCCAAGTCGCTGCGCCTGCGGATCTCGGTAGACAGCGCCTGCTCCACCGCAGCAATCTCGCGCTGTAGTGTGGGGCCAGACATCACGTGGAGACGTGAGCCCTTTGGCTTGAGCCAAACAGGTTCAGGTTTTTGGGGGCACAAAATCTTGGGACGAGAGCCATCATCTGCATGCTCATCGTCACGGCCATCTTCTGAGCAACTTTCGTCCTCGCCACTCCGAGAAGCATTCCTTAGCACTACATTACGTGGCATCATCACGTGGCAGCTGTCCCGACTACGTCAAAATATCGCTGCCTTGTACTACTAGTATTAGTTTCCTCAAGATACGGGCAATCATTAGGGCTCGCTGTACCTCGCCCCACTTTGCACTCCTCTCGCTTGCAAGCACCCTCGCTCTCCTCCAGACAGGGTTTAGGGTGCAGCGCAGGGTCACATCGAAACCCTAAACCCTAAACCCCTAAACCTCTAAACCCTAAACCCTAGAGGGTTGAGGGTCGAGCATAGGGTTGACTTGACCAAACGACGCAGGTTGCAAAAGGCCGGCAGTGTATGGGGTTGGGTTGGTCGAGGATTGACAGTTCAGGGTTTCAGGTTACTGAGGGTACTGTGGCTTGCTTATGGGTGCTTTTTGTTAACCAAAAGAGCTGTTCTGAGCCGTTTCTCGCAAATCAAGCCCGTAGATTCAGGAGTTCGGCACAGCTTGGCACTCAAGATGCCAAAACCCCCCAGCCCAAGCCAAAACCCAGAAATCCCAAACTTGAGGCTGAGGAAGACCCCTTGCCTGACTCGTCAGCATCCGACCAGTTTCCTGAAAGGAGAACGTGATGCTCTGGGGCTGACAATAGGATTTTATGAGGGCTCGTCAGGGCGTTCAATGGTTTTGTACTGGGTTTGTAGACGGGTTTTGGTGTTTGACCCAGGGTAGGTCAGTTGGGAGCTTGGGGGGTTATGTTGAGATTTTGGGGTGTATGTTGACACCCGCTCTCAGAAGAATGCATGTCAGACTGTTGGCGGCGGTCAAGCACGTGAGAACTGACAATGGCAATGTCGCAACAGCTTCAATTCAAGAGAGATAGAAACCCTAAACCCTAAACCCATGGACCCTAGCACACCCTAAACCGTAAAATCCCAAACCCTAAACGCTAAACCCATGGACCCTGGCACCATAACTAGGAGATCGGATTAGGGGGACCTTTCAAATATCCACCCTCGCAAAAAATTCTGCTTTAAGAGAGCCCTAAGTCCCTAAGTAATTTTTAGAAGGGTCCCCTTTGAAGGGGTCTCCCGAATATTACTAGGAACGATAAATCCCTGAACCCTCAGACCTCCCGAAGAACCCCCATACAGAACCCCAAACGCGTAGGTTTCGGTAGTTTAGGGTTCAGGGTTTACGTAAGAACGGTTAGGGGTTTAGGGCTTGGGTAAGCTCTAGGTGCCTGAAACACCAGATAAGAAAGTTTGCAACATCGGTCTGCAAGAACCCTGAAACCAGTCACCTTCCCAACTCCACTGGCAACCGTTCTTGCCAGGTCCTTGAGGCTTGTAGGCTTTACCATCACCCCCGACACCCTAAGCCTTGAGGAGACTTCTCCCTTTTTTAAGCACGGACTTGGAGTGTATGCCCTAAACCCTAAACGTTGAGGAGATTTTTTCCAAAGTTCAAGCCCCGAAGGAGCCAAGTCTCTGCAACCCCTCCGGCTAGGATGATGCCACCAGCACCGCGGCAGACGCTCGCCACGGAGGGCTGCACCTCAAAGGTGGTGGCGCTGACTTGCGGAGGTTGCGGTGTGGCTTCAGGGTGTAGGTCAAGCTTAGGGTTTAGGAATTCTGCCCCTGGAGCCAGCAAAGTGAGTGTCCAGTATGGGCAACCCCTGCCAAGTCAGGTGCCGAGGTCTCGAAGATCTCGCTGTTTGTGCTGCAAGGCTGATACACCTTGGGCGAGGACTCGGTAGTTTCCGGCGCTCGGAACTCAGGGTATATGGGTAGTTCTCTAGATTAGGGTCCCTTTTTCGGTCCCCATTATAGTACGGCACCCTTATAAAAAGGAACCCAAAAAGAACCCAAATTTAGAGAACTACCCGTATGCAGGCTTTGTGTTTTCTGGACTTGTTGACCACAGATTATAGTAAACCCCAAAAAATTGGAAGCTGGATTAAGGACAAATGGTGCTGGGATTCCCTATACATTACTTTTAGGTTAACTGTGGAGGTTGGAGGGTTCAGGGTCGAGGCTAATGTAGGGGTCAGGGTTTTGGGGGCCCATTATACTATAATTATAATATGGAGCCCCCAAAATAGTATAGGCAATTATTTAGGCCCCTTTATTACAGCTGGAATAGGGTGGAGCTCAGGGAAACAATATTAATATGTCCTTCGGTGCTCGGAAACTGCAAAATCAAGGGCTCCGTCAACTTCTGAGCCATCCTTTTCGGAGCGTCAGTCCAGGAATAACCGGTGACGTGAACTTGCTTCGAGATCCAAACATCTGAGGTTAACTCTAGCCGCTGTGCGATCCTATGCTCCAGCCCTGCGAAACCGTGGACCCGACTCTCATAGTACTGTGGTCTTAGGGTTTTGGGTTCAGGGTTTCAGGTTTCGGGTCGTGGGCCAACCACTAAGTATTTTGCCGCTGCCATTGGTAGTTCTGCAATGATACCGTTCACCAATACCCGCACCAGCATTCTACGGCCAAACATCTTGTAACATTGCGACTGGTACAGCTGCAGACCTCTACCACTCAGCGCTTCTCCTGTAGATGTGCACGAACTGTTATTGCTCGTCATGCTACCTGCTTTCCGGGACTGCCATTGCAACAAACGTTTCGATCAAGAATCTCTGGAGGCAACTGCTGGACTAGCCCGTGCTACTGCTGAGGCTCTTGCGGCTGTTTTCCGAGCATTAGTCTCCGTTGTCTTTCTTATTCCCCGTTCTCTTATTCCCGCATAGCTCGTGCTTGTCCTACCGAAACCCTTGTAATTGCACATTGCTAGTCACGATGTTGAAATCGAATTCTGTGTCCTCCTTGATCTTATTCCTTCTTGCAGCCCAAGCACGTGATCAAAGTACCAGGCGTCGCCGGCCCTGATGCTCTTGGTCTTTACCCTACATCTGAAGGCCTTCATTGTCTTTCAGGCCCCTCTTGTTTGCAGAGACGTTGGGTCTTCCTGCATTTTACTATCCAGTCTGGCGTTGATTGTATGAATATATTATATACGATATCTGGAATAAGGACCATAAGGGGATGCTACTACGAACTAAAAACGGGGGTTCCGGTACTAACGGTTCCGACATGTTCCGACCTTACTTCACTCTATGGAGCTCGCAGGGAAAGAAAGTGGGCTCAGTGTGTTGGGCAGTCCTGTATCTGTTCTGCGGACTCTTTAGCCCTTCACTCCGAGCCTGATAGCTCGGTAGGAATGCCTTGGGGCTTAGGATTTACGGCTTAGGGTTTCAGCACTCACTCTCGGACATGCCTAGGGTTTAGGGTTTGCTTCAGACTTGAGGGAACCTCGAGACCCTTTTCACCCTCCAATGCCTAGTGTCGGGGCCTTGACAATTAGAATAGGGTTTTGGGGTGTACTACACTGTAGTCAGAACAAGGAACCCCCAAAATAGTATTGGCAAGAAACCAGGCCCCTGTATAAAACCCCGAACTGACTCTATGCCCTGAACTAGACCCCAAAGCCGGCTAAAACGCGCACACTCGTAGTCTGGGAAAGCCGAGGCTGCAAGCGCCGTGGGGGCAGGTGGCTAGTTTGGCCGAACATGCATAGGAGCTGCATAAATAAACTCATGTTCAGAAGATATGGCACTAAAAGTCAAAGCCGAGACCCTAACGCCTCTTTCCTACACGCTCAGGCCGGCACCGCAAATCGTTCAGCCGGGGCATCGTGGCCTTAAGGTCTGCAGCTTAGGCTCACCACGGGGACCCCCAAACAGAAGAGCCTAAAATAGGGGGGTTCAGGGTCTAGAGATCTCCTGTTGCATCTGGACTTGTGCCATCGCCAGAGACCTCCTGAACCCTCAAACTTTCAACCCGACATACGCCGGAGTTCCTGCCTCGGCAGAGAAAACCTCTCCGCGGGAGTCGCCGCGGAGTCGCAGGGCCACCTCGTCCGGTTTCAAGGTTGCTACTTTTAGGGTTTTGGGGGTTTGGCGTTTGGGGTTTGTGGTCTCGCCGCTCACACTCGGACACTCCGGGCGAGGCATGTGGTACGAGGTCTGACAGAAGTGAAACCAACACCCGCTGCGAGCCCGCAAAACATCAACAAACATATCCCTACAACTCTCAACCAGGGGTTTAGGGTCTTTGTGCATGCACCGGCCACATCCAAAGGCTCGTGCATGGTTGGCTTAAACCAGGTCTCCACGTCTCCAGCGTGCAGTACTAGGGACTGTAGGGGTTGTAGGAGAATATGCTGTTGGGGTATCTGAAGATACCTATACAAGGAAGATAAGCAGCTATTAGTTAACGCGCCATGCTCAGGCATCCAGGTACAGTGGACAGGCTGACAGGCTTCGCCAAAACAGGGAAAGGACAGGGAACAAGCTAGCAAATCCCGGATTCAAGGGCTCGGCTTGAATTCGGCAAGGTGAAGATTTCGGACTAGTGCCGCAATACTTGCTGCCGCGCTTAAGCCAGATAGTCCAAGCCGCGGAAACTTGCCGAATTTTCTCATCTGATGGCATGGCTCAGTGGCTGTGCAGGATGGGGATGCGAGGAATAAACACCGGACCTCCCGAAAGCCTCAGCTCGAAATCCGACAGCCCCGCTCGCTGTCATGCACACATACAGCTCTTTACATGTGTATACATACATATATATATATATATCTATATATATATATATATATATAGGTGCATGCTACTATGTGCCCGTGAATGGATCTCCATGTGTCGTTACACAAGTTATATGTGTTTGCAAAAAGTATAGATACCGTAGCGACCAACTTCACTTGTCGGGCCGCAGGGCTGCGAGATCCGGCCTTAGCAACCCCCGGAGATCCTTAGGGTTTTATAGGGAGGCCCCCTATAGTAGTTCCTTTTTATTGGGATTAGCTTATAGAATTTCCTAAATATGAACCCCAAAAAGGAACTGCTTTAGGGCCCATGGGTAAGGCTTAGGGTCCCACTAATCTCGCTGAGCCAAGTCCGAACTGCACCAAGCGCAGGAGACTCTGGAGGTTTAGGGGTTTAGGGTTTAGAATTTTGAATTTTGGGTTTAGGGTTTAGGGTTTATAGTTTTGAATTTTGGGTTTAGGGTTTAGGGCTTAGAGTTTTGGGCTTGGGGGTTTAGGGTTTAGGGTTCAGGGTTTTGGGTTTACGGATGTCGATTGACAACTTGACAGTTCGAGCGAGTCGTACAGGATTTTGCGAGATCTCTATCAGGGTCTGAGATGGGTCGGGGAGTAAGGTTTGAAGTTTAGGGGTTCATGACAGCTGCTCAGGCGCATGCAGCAGGGATGGCCGGGACAAGGCACAGTGCCCGGCGAGGTGAACCTAAAGACTCCCAATCCATAGTAGATTAATTCAGTCTCCGACATCCCTTACTTTTGGGCCCCTCGTTAAGGATCTCTTGTAGATTCCATGAAAAGAAATGAGATGGAGTCTCTGAGGCGGTAGATGCGACGTCCTTCGCTTCGACGTAGTTCTCGATGATGGTGAGGTGCGTCTCCTAGCAGATCTGACCCGGAGGTCGCTAGAGCTGAAGTCCCATGAACTCCTCATTTTCCCTAAGCCTTTTAGGGTTTAGGGCTTTATAGGGTTTTGGGTTTAGGGTTTAGGGTTTAGGGGGTTGCAGTTGCGACACCGCACACGCAGCACGAGGAACACCGCGCAGGTACGCTCTCGACCTCGAGGTCTGTGCAAACGCCCTCAATCAACAGTGCCAAGAACAAGGCGTGAACTGTGAGGTCTGGTGTTAGAATTTCGCCGCTTCGTGCATGGGATAGTGGGGCCACGGTTGGTGATTCCCATGTCGAGAGCTTTCTCCGAGAATAGCCTCCGACCCGTTGAGGCTACAAACGTGCAAGACACTCTTCGCAGACAGCTCCCATCAAAACTTCTTTACTGACTCGTTGATGTGTGAAACTTGCCTAGGGCCTCCGAAGAACCAGATCTCTAGCCATATACCACAAAGCCACGCCCCCTACATTACAATGCGGCTTGGCACCTGTTCCCGCTCAGTCCGCAGCGCATTGACCGCGTCCTTCACGGGGTGAAAGGCCTTGACCTTACTGGCCAGACCATTTTTTCATCTCTGCTGTGCTCGGGCTTAGGGTTTAGGACTTAACCTCCCTAACTCCTACACTAGACCCTAGATAGCCTTACCTCTTATAGGTAAACACCCAAGGCGCTGGGGTCTGGAACTTTCGCGTACAAGAGTGCGCGTCCTTCCGGGTTTTGAGTTCAGGGTTTTGAGTTTCGTATTGAGGGTTTGCGGACTTAGGGTCGTGGTCGTGCAACTGAGAGATGTAAGATCTGGGGCTAGAGGCTCAGCTTTGTGCCTTACCCCTAAACCTTTTTCTGAAGAGGGTCACCCTGAAGCTAAGCCCTTTTTTTTGAGCAGGGGCTGCAGCGCACATTGCCCTGAATCTAAACCCTAAACCCCTAATCCCCTAAACCCCTGAACCCTAAACCCTAAACCCCCCTGCGTCCGAGTTCAGGGTGTAAGCCCACCAGTGACAAGGAGCTCATTGCCCCCGCACAATCGAAAAAAGCTATTGCAGGGGCCTGCAAAGTTTGCATGGGCTTTCGGGGCATGCGAGAGTATGTGTGTATGCAGGCATTAATGTATACATGCATCCAGGCAGGCATAAATAAATATATACATATATATATATATACACAAATATACATACATACACACATACATACATACATACATACATACAGACAGACAGACAGACGGACGGACAGACAGACAGATAGACAGACAGACAGACATCATGGTGACACTGTGTAGCTATATAGGTATATATATATATATATACGTATTCAGTACTTGTATATCTTTAGTCGTTGTCGCGACCTCCAGAGTAAAGCTAAATCCGAGGAGGCCGAACCCAGATCTGCCAATCCAACCCTTCAAGTCAAGGGTTTAGGTTTAGGGTTTAGGGTTTAGGGTTTAGGGTTTAGTGGTTTAGGGTTTAGGGTTTAGGGTTTAGGGTTTAGGGTTTAGGGTTTAGGGGTTTAGGGTTTAGGGTTTAGGGTTTAGGGAACCTAAAGA